CCAAGTATTTGGCCCTCTCCAATGGGTGCTGTGGTTTTCCCCCGAATTCTCTTCTCTCCTGAATGCCAATGAAGCTGCTGGTTGCAGGACTCAAGACTCCCCTCCCCGCTTCATTCTACTCTCTCCCCCTCTCTTCTCGCGCTCTCCTGCTTGCTCGCTCTCTCGTTTGTTCGTTTGTTCGCCTTGCTCACTCTCGTCACTCCTTTCTGCTCCTTCTTTTGATTTCTCCTCGTCTTACTGTATCTTCCCTCTCGCGTCACTCGTTCATATTCTCTAATTGTCTCAACTTGGTGGCGATGCACCTAGCATTCTTGGTCTAATATGAGACTTTTCTCAACTGTCTCATGGCACCCAGTTTAATATCGGTAAGTCGCCATTTTGATTGGTTCAGTTCGCTCTTATCCATTGCCCCCGGGGTAGTTAATTCGACCCTTTCTCTTGACGCTCTCACTCTCTTACTCTCTCTCGTCTTTCTCGGCCATCCTTGGTTAGCACCGCGGTGGACCTTTTATCTTACGTAGTCTACTTACTTGACTCGGGCTCTTCCCCTGACCATTGACTAGGTTGTCCTCCGTCAACTCTTCCTACTCACGCGCTGGTCTCACTGCATCTGCCGACCACCTTTTTAAATTTCCATTGGGCGCACGTCCGCTGCAATCCGTTTTCTGCTATCCACTCTTTTGCTATTGATTGCCCACCATCACTTTTTTTTCCCCTCGATTTGTTTCGAGACGATTCACTCGCCAACCTTTGCTGCAAGTGCTCCTCAGCCTCAATTCTGTTTTGAACGGCTACACTCGATAATTCTCCGATCGCATAAACCCCCTCTCCCCCCTCGCCCCTGTGAAGGTGCCTGCTCTGTCGTCATCGCCTGGCTTTCCTGGTGACCGACGCTTCGCTGCTCGTCCCATATCCTGGCCTACTGCTCCAACCAATAAATCCACGTTCTTCCTGCGTCGGAAGCCCTTGCTGTTCAGGCTGACTGGACGATGTCGTCCTCCGGTATGAAGTCGCCCATCATGCTCCTCGTCTATCGCGTTGGGCACTGTTCCTCTTCCCTTCCTTCCGCTCCCTCACGAAGTTACTGACTCACGGGCAATAGCTGCTGCGGTCGCACCTGCGGCGGCAGCAACTTCCGCTAATACTGCCGCTGCCGCTGCCGCTACATCGGCCGATACTCAACCGGAAACGCCGACACAGACTTCAGTCCCATCATCTTCAACATCGGAATCACCCACAACTCAAGTGCCAACGACTACCGAATCTTCGACATCATATCCTACCTCTTCAACATCATCGTCCTCGACGACCACAACAGCCACGGCAGAACCTACGACGACGAGCACCTCATCGCACACAACATCGACAACGTCAACGTCAACCTCATCCTCATCGTCAACGACAACAGATCCTGTTCCTACCAGCACCTCCGCGTCAGAAACTAGCCGCACCGTTGATGTCGTCACAACTGTCGTAACACAAACACCTACCAATGGCTCTACGGGAGTAGAAACCCTCACTATAACCTCGACGGACACATCGATTCCAACAGCCACTGCGGGAACGGCGGCGGACGGGGCTTCTATCACTGGAAGCGGCTCATCGGCTACAGGGACTTCGAAGAGTACCAGCAGCGGTAGCTCTTCCGGACTTTCAGCAGCTGGCACGATAGCAGTCGCAGTAGTTGTGCCTGTCGCATCTGTGGCTCTTATCGTCTTGGCTGCCCTCTATTTTTGGAGGAAATGGAAAGCGAAGAAGGCGGCAGAGGAGGAAAGAAGAAAAGAGGTAGAGGAATATGGCTTTAACCCGAATAACGATCCATCCCTTCCACCTATCATGGGCGGAAGTGCTTTTGAGCCCAAGGATGATACTTCCGGGTATCGCGGGTGGGGTACCACATCAGCTGGCCGGAAAGCATCGACCAATCTTTCGAGTAGCGCTGGGGTCGGGCTAGCCATGTCTGAGGCCGGAAGCGCGCCTGGTTATCACCATGCCACTACTCCGAGTGACGGGACTATTCAGTACTCCGAGGGCCAGGGTACGTTAGGGGAGACTGAACCGATTGGGGTCCTTGGTGCTGCTCCAGCAGCCGCGACAAACACTCGGAACGTCGATATCCATCGTGGTCCATCAAATGCCTCATCTGCATACTCTGCAGCCAACCGATCGGAGGCCTCGGACGAAAGCCATATGTCTGCCACACACCCTGCCGGTGGCTTCTATGATGATAATCCATATTATAGCGATATTCAACCGCAGTATGGGGCTTATGGTGACGGTCCGTACGCTGGTGCCCCCCCGGTCATTCGAGATGTTCAAGCACGGCGTAACACCCGGATCGAAAATCCCGCTGTGTTTCCCCGGCAAGGAAATGCCGGTATTGCCCAGAATTTCTAGGTTCAGACATTGTACCTTTTCTTACTCACCTGGCTACACACCTTTCCAGCCTGTATTAGGTGCTTTTCAACCGCATGCGGTCCTTGCAAGCGGGTTGAGGTCTATGCAAAGAAAATGGGGATCAAGAATCAAGCATCGCCTTGTCTCTTTGCCCAAATGAACATTCCTTTATCGAAGATGCAATTTCTTTCAAACTACAAGGGACTGCATCAACATTTGAAATCATAAATTTCTGCGTTTCTCTGCAAAGGTCGCCAACGTATCATCATCAGGCTGGCTTGTCTTGCCTTCTTCTATCCTTCAATTATATTTTTTACACTCTTTCTGATGGAACTATATTGACCATGTTTTTGCTTACTATCACTGTCCTCTGTGGTGCTCACTTGATTCCCCTTGTCGATTTGATATCTGAAAATTTTTCTGAGTTGACCCTTGCAATCTGTATGTACATTCTTGACAATTCCATAGTCATCCCCTTTGACATTGCGTTTCAGAAAGGCTGCTGTGTTGTTCTCCTTAACCCCCAATATATCTTTCTTGTTTTTATGGTTGTCACTCTTGCTCTGCCTAGGTAAATTTTGCTTAATATGGTCTGGAATTCTATTGGCTCGATTAAAGCTGCAACCCGTGTGCCTCAACGGCAAACTCAGTATGTGACAAGCCTGTAGCTTTCAACATCGTTCAAGTAGGGGCGGTTGTTGTTTTTGGGGTGGGGGGGTTTCCGTTGCCATGAATAGTCTCCTCATACTGCCCATCATCCTCGGCATCCGTACCGTCGAATGCGGCAGGGAGATGTGGCTTCATATGTCTAGAACATCTTGGTTTCACACTAAGCTCGATAGTTGATGCATCCTGGTAAGCACCAAGGTATACGATATTTCCGAAGTATAGCATATCAAGATCTCCGTTGAATGATCGGCCACAGGGGAAGAGCAATAGGGCGCCGTTTGGCATGCAACCGGAATCGCAACCAGACCAGGCGTTGTTCTTAGGGAGCTGTAGAGAGCATGGTCGATTCAGTGTTTGCGAGGCACCGAGTTCCTGCTCCATTAGGCCGAATGCGAACAAGTTCCTTTTTATTATGCAGTACACGCCAAGGATCGGCCGCCAGCCAGAAAAGAAAAAAGAACGGGGGAGAAGAAACCAAAAGGGAGAAGCATGTTTACTATGTACGTATCCCGTACTCTACTCGGTAATGGAAAGGGAACGAAGTACTGTACGTATGGCATAATTATATGTACCGCACAAGTAGCTTGGTAGACAAAATGGCAGAAAAGTGGCAGAAAGCAGTGCAGTGCACGCGTCACCGCCTAGGAACAGGCCTAGAAGGGGACAGTCCATCGGTTTTCAGTCAGACAAATGGTTGGATTACTTGGTCCTACATACAATACCAGTACGGGCTTATTTAAAAGGTGTTGTATTCACCCTACTGCACTTCGTGCTATGCGTAGTAGGTCCCGTAGGTGTATGATCATTCAAGAAAGGTTGATGGACACCCCACTGCATTGCATCCGCAACGGGAGACTGGAAGAACGTGGGCATCTTGGAAGCGGTGATTGGCCCGGGAACAGCTACCCGGAGCTCCCCACATCTCCTAGGGGAACTTATCGATTAATGCAGTGATGGGTCATTGATTGACTTCAACCCTTCACTTTGACCGTTAACTTGACATTGGCTGGTCAACAACACCACTCCGCCGTGCGCCTCCCCCCCTGCCCCCAGCACGAGTTCTTTCTCTTCTCATTCGCAAGTGCCGAGCGACTTTAGGAGTTCCTACTAAGCACCGTACTAATACCTCAAGGCCCAGACTTACCTGGTTCTTAGACTCCATACGGTAAGTTAGTAGCAGGTAGCTACTACCTACTGTTGCTGATTGAGGAAGCAGCAACGATTCGCTTTCGTGGGCCCTTCCTTCTCCTACCCACCCTCTCTCTTTACTGCTCCTCTCTTTCTTGTCTTCTTTTTCGCTTTCCCCGTGCTCCCTCCCAAGGTCAGGTGTGTGTGCCCCTCGCCTTGGTTCCAGTGCTTCTGGCCCTTCAGAGCCCTTCAAGCCTGCTTCTTACGTACTTCTTCTACCCCGAGTTGGTAGTAAACGGCCATTAGCACGGAGCACAGCTGGGACTACTGCTGCTTCTGCGACGGTCATTTGGTGGTCTATCATTCTTTGGGACTAGACAATCGTCCGATTGAAACAAGTGCCGCTAAGGTTCATTCACTCTCTGTCTCGGTTCCCCATTATCATTGTTCGTCGCTCGTCTTTCCTCCGCCCCTCCCCCTCTCGCTCCTTCCCCTCCCCGTTCCATTTTCTTTCTCTTTCTCTTCCTTCTTGGTCTATCCCGTTACCGTTCCTTCGAGTAGAGGTCATCCCCCGAAATCGCCTCCATCAGCCACTGCTCTTCGAGCCCGGGGTGACCGACATCTTCGTGCTTGCCTCTTACTTCACCTATCTCTTGGCTTACGAATATTGTTATAGCTTGTGTTGTGCCGCTTTATTCAGCATCGCCCGGCACTCCAGTGCATCGAAGACCCTTCCAAGCCATCGCTACGTCCTGCGCAGCGCAGCGCAGCGTCTTCTAAGATGTAAGGATCCACCTACGAGTCTGATGCCCTTTCCTTCGCCCCGCGCCCTTCCCTGTGCCGACCCTGATGATTCGGGAAAAAGGAAGTTCGGCAAACAAATTCAGCGCAGACAGCTCGATCTCCCTGAATATGCTGCAAGTTTCGTGAACTATAAAGCGTTAAAGAAGGTCGGTAAAGCCTCTCCACTTGCTTTGCATAATCCACTTTCCCACTCTGCGTGCTGCTTTGAGAGCCAGGTTGACTGAAACACCTGTGATAGCTCATAAAACAACTGAGCGCCACGCCCACCATCCCAGCGCAGAGCGTCGCAGGTGCAGCGCAAAATGTTCCTGAGGCGCAAGCTGCCCTGCGGGCGAATAAAGAGGTGTTCTTCTTCCGACTGGTAGGGATACGTGCTGGAATTGGCCGTGGAGACATTCTGATTGACCGCACAATCCAGGAACGGGAGATTGAAAAAGTCAATGCCTTCTATCTACAGAAGGAAGCCGAGGTACGTTGATGCCATGTAGTGTTTTTTGTGACAACCATGGGAGACTGATGGCAGCACATAGTTCTCACTCCGGCTGAAAACGCTAGTCGACAAGAAAAGGGTCATTCAGTCGCGAGCAGTGACAAACTCCAAAGCGCCCGCAAATTATGTCTCGTTGTTCGAGGGGTTTCAGCAATTCGATGGTGATCTCAATAAATTACAAGTGAGCTTTGACTTGGCATTGTGGCTGCACATGATTTATTCTGACAAATCGTCAATTTTCGAAGCAATTTGTTGAGATCAACGAGACGGCAATGTCGAAGATTCTGAAGAAGGTGCGTCTCCAACTGGAAACTGCGCCCATCTGCGATTAAATCAATTAACCATGTAGTCATAGTGGGATAAAACTTCCAAGGTATGAACAACCTGATCTTTCCTTAAGTTACTTTCTCCGTCGTGGCGCAGTCGCTGCATTCAGCCTTGTACTACCATGCTTTTGCTTACATGTGCGGAATTCCCAGTCTCGCATGAAAGAATTATATCTTCACCGAGCCGTTGAAGTACAGCCATGCTTCAATAGAGACGTTTTGCGAGATCTGTCGGACCGAGCAACAACAGCACGGCTGGAGCTAGAAGCATGGGCGGAAGGCGAAAATATTCATTTTGATACCATCCGTCCAGTGGATAGGAGTGCAGCCTCGCAATCGTTCGGGCCAGATGAGGAAGATCTCGATCTACAAATCCTGCAATCAGCCAGTTCAGGGAACCTTCAGACGCTACGTGAATGGACAGCAAAGATACAATCATCCCCGAACGCTTCAACTCGTGCCACTCGCACCTTCCTCGCCGCCATCAATGAATTCTCTGACGAAGTGCTTGCAGTGCTCCTGGAAAGTGGCCTGGTTGACATAAATGCAGAAGATGATATCAATGAACGCAACTGCCTGCACGAAGCAGCCATTTCCGGTCGGGAATTTGTTCTCAAGGCAGGACTAACAGCAGGAGTCGATATTTCCAGGTGTGATGTCTACGGTAGATTGCCTCTACACTACGCCTGTATGCATGGTCGGGTAGAGATGGTGCGGGAACTGCTGAAGGCCGGACCTCATACAATTGATGTGATGGACCATGACAACTTCACGCCCTTGATTCACAGCATTGTCAAGGATCAGTTGGCCTGCGCGGAGCAACTGCTTTGCAACAATGCCCGTATCGACCCAAATTCTGAGTCGGATCATATTCCGCTGAATCTCGCCTGTCAGTATGGATCAATTCCAATCGTCCAAATGCTGTTAGAACGCGATGCGAGGCTGCTTCCCGATGCAGAGGGCTTGTACCCCCAACACATGGTGGCACGAGCTTCCCAGTCCCCGCAACTGCTCCTTCTCCTCAAACAACACGGAGCTAACATGGACCAACGTGATAAACTGTACCAATGGACACCTCTATTTCATGCAGCAAGCGAGGGCTGTGTGGGTTGTTTACGTACGCTTCTGGAAATGGGTGTTGATGCCGGTGCTGTGGATGAGAAATGTCTTGCCGCAATGTACTACGCAGCGTGGGAGGGCCATTTGGAGTGTATGCTTCTACTTTGGTCCCATGGCACAACTTTACAGTCTCCGCAAAAGCCTCTTGGGTTTCTGAACGGCGTGAAGCTGCAGGACTCGGGTCATGATTATGCTTCTGGTATGAATGATTTGACAGATGCGGATAACATGGATACGGCGGATGGCATCCCTGATCTGTCCCTCCCGCCACCAATCATACCCCTGAGACGGTATGGTCACAACTTTCTGGATAAAAAGGTTTTCGTTCAGATCTTGTTTGACCCAGGGAGCACTGGCTCGATTCTGTTCGATCAAGCAGGTCGGCATCCTGCTGCACGCCTGACCATATCCTCCAAGCTCTCCGATCTGATTCCACGTACCATAATGCTCCCTATACAGGAAGACTCAAGAATGATATCCTTCCATGTTGACAACCTTGACACCTTCGCCGTTGATTTCGAAATTTTCCCTACTTTCGGGTCTAAAGTGATCGCGAAGACGGTAGCGCTTCCCAATATGTTCAAAGCGGAAAGCTCCAGCACTGGTACATGTTCCCTACCACTATTTGATCCCAGGCTACGATCTATTGGTCAACTGCGGTTCAACTTTCAAGTAATCAAACCATACCACGGCGACCCGCTAGAGATTACTCACTTCGCAACGTATTGGAAGGCGACTAGTGCTGTTGATCATGAACACAATGGTCTTGTCACAGGCTCTAGTTTGTCCGGTGACCATATTCAGCTCTTTGTGCAGTTGACCCGAGACCGGGTCCCTGTTCTTTACCCCCAGTTCGCGATCGAGTATCATGGCATTGAGATACCAATCTGTCAGCTTACCTACGCCCAGTTTCGAGCAATCGGCGTCGAATGCGGTGTGGATCATCTCGAAATGCTCCGGTTTTTACAGGTGTCTGCTTTGAACGACTTAGCCCAAGCTCATCGTCAGCTAGCTTCCTCATTTCTGTCTTTGCGAGACGTTTTCCATCATTTACCGCTCAGTGTCAGCGTTAATTTATCCGTGCTATACCCGTCGGCGATGGAGGAGCGTGCATCACATATGGCTTCCCTGCCGGACGTTAATACCTTTGCGGATGCTATTCTCACGGATGTTTTTGACCACGCTCGAATCGCGCGCGACCAGAGTCCTGATATCATGCGTTCTGTGGTCTTCACCTCTTACAACCCGAATATCTGCATTGCTTTGAACTGGAAGCAGCCCAACTGTGAGTCAGGCTCTCAATTCCTTCCTAATATCTCCTGAGAAGTACGCTGATGTAGCTGCTTTTTGAGACCCTGTTCTACTCTGCAATGACCTTGGTCAGATTCGGGACTTAGCCCGTGATGTCAACGCACTTCCTGATGTTAACAGCAGCGGACGAGCTTCGATGTCCATTAAAGATTCCGCCCGAATAGCGCAGAGCAATAACTTCATGGGATTAATATGTCGTTCTAGCCTACTGGTATGTATTTGTCTTGTCACGTGCTTCCCTCCCCAAGCATTTGAATCGACTTTTCACGCTGGGGACTAAAACTCGTTGCTGTAGAACGTTGTGCCCGCCTTGGTGGATACAATAAAGGAACTTGGCCTCGTGTTGGTGGCAGATACTTCGGACGATGCCAATCAACCTGACAGAATGGACGTCTTGCAAACTACCGATCCTGTGGGTGTGGCAGATTGGGCATATCGCATGCCAGACGGTGTGAACGGTGTCATGAAAGCCAACGGCATCCTAAGGTTCAATGATACGATTGATATGTGAACTGGTAATCGACTCTCTGGCATCCTTGGCCGCCTTCCCCATGAAACCTTGCATCTCGTTCACTTATCGTCATTTAGGGTGAACCCATTTCGGGACAAACACGGACAGCGGCAGATTATGATCTCCTTGCAATTTTCCATGTCTTCATGTAATCAGAGTCCCCGATCCACTTCACCTTCTGTGTGACGCCGCTTCTGATGATTTTGTACACGTTGACATTTCTTTCTCTGCCTTACTTGTTGTGGTTGTCTGCATGAAACCCATCGCCTATGATGCCTTCTCATTCCCATCTATGAGTCAACTTTCGTTGGTGGTTAGGTTCTGACGTGAATTGATTGCTCAATGTTTGAGGTGTGGAATCTTCTGTTCCAAATACTATAAATATATCAGATAGTGTACAATTATCTATCATGTCATATCTAGCATGACCGAACGCTATGCAGCAAAGAAAACGGCGGATACTTGTGTTTACCCGCTAGTCCGACTGATGTTCACAAAAAATCACCGAATCTTACATGCCGCTCGGTCTGCCTTTGACAATATCATAACCCCACTGTCGCAGAGCTTTGACAACTTTAGGGGTAATGGCTGCTGTCAAGGGTACTCGAATAAAGATGAGACTCTTGTGAATCGCGTAGGCAAGTGCAAGTTGAGTCCATAGACCTGAAAAAGCCATGGCAGTTAGTCACTGCCATACCTGAATGAGTGAAGGGCTTAACATAAGACACTTACTGGCATTTTCGCCGTTACCTTGCGCCTGTGCCGTACCTTCCCGAGAATCCGTGTCGGTTGTCAAGCTCTTGTCCTGTTCCGAGTCTGCATTGGCACCCTGCTTGCTCGGCCAGACAGCATCCACCATTCCCTTGACAGAATCAAAAATGACGCGCTCATAGTAGCCAATTCGCTCTACGCCCAGCAGACGAACAGCGGCGAAACAAATCGGAAAGTCCATGGCCGACAATAGCAAATACACCCACAAGGCGGACCAGCCATACTCTTTCGACAGGTTACGCAACCGCTGCGACAGTGAAGCGCCTGATTTTGGTGTTTGCGCCGCGTGTCTTGCGCGGGACGACTGGATGAACCGGCGGAATGGTTGTTGAGGTTGGTGAAAATTAGGAAGTATGGTGCCGCTAGTAGTACCGTGAGCCTGCTTCCATTGAGGGAAGATCGCCCGCCGCTGGAGAATTGACGTGTGCGGTGCGGAGGATCGAAAGGCGCGAGTGAAGGCAATAGAATTCGTTGCAGATGATGTTTTTGGAATAGCCAAATTTCCTCTGGCTATGCCGGGAAGCTGACGGAGCAAACCTGACAGGAAAGGACGATGTGGCTGCATTTTCAGAATGAGATGACTGGGCGCGCAGCAGACTAGGCGTCCTAGAAAAAAAAGCCAAATTGAAGATTGCTGGCTGATGACGTTTCGGGCGCAGATAGTGAGAAACTATCGAGGTACGTAGTTGATATTTATTCGCTACTATAAGCAATCTATCCCGGTTTGTCGGCGTGCCGGTGCATCCGGCCTCCGATGCCAGCCCACCAGGTGTTGACCGACTTGGCCGGCAGGAATTTTGCATGAAGAGGCTCTGTATGTATGGTAATTTGAATGTATGCCCAAGTACGGAGTACTACGTAATTACTTTGACAAACTGGCGAGAGCTGTGCAGTACCGGGCATTCTCTCTGCCTGGCGCAGCCAGGCCGCCGGGGCTACACACCGCCTTCGTGGTTGTCTCCGCAAGCCTTCCAGAAATCTCGGCTTGGAAAAAGGACGACGGCCTCCTCCATATCACGGCTTCGCGATACCATCACAAGCCCCTGCTCCCGCTCTTCCCGTTGGTTGGCTAAGCTTCGCCATGTCGCCTCGTCTATTTGGGCAGCTGGCTCATAGTCCCTTCCGCTCCATCCGGAGCCCTCGTTCCGCCGTCCATGGTCATGTCCCCGTTCGCACTTTCGGTATTCGCTCATTGAACCCTCCGAAGACCTCCCGCTTCGATGTCGGTCCGGGTCTACCTGTTTTGAAGTCGACTCCCACGGCGGCCTTGGAGCGCAAGGCTAACACGCTTCCCCTGCGCACTGGTGCGATCGCGATCAAGAAAGGAATGACCGGGCTGTACGACGCGACATCCGGGAAACGTATCGCTTGCACCGTCCTCCAACTAGATCGAGTTGAGGTTGTTTCGCACAAGACGCTGGAGAAGCATGGATACTTTGCCGTCCAGATGGGCGCTGGTTGGAGGCGGCCTACCAACCTGACCAAATCGCTATTGGGTCACTTCTCTGCCAACGGGATCTCGCCGAAGCGCCATATATACGAGTTCCGGGTGAAGGATGAGAGAGGCCTCTTGCCAGTCGGAAAACTGGTCAACGCCGACTGGTTCAAGGTGGGCCAGTATGTTGATGCGCGATCAAATTCCAAGGGAAAGGGATTTGCCGGTGTGATGAAGAGACATGGTTTTGGAGGTCAAGATCGCAGTCACGGTGTCAGTTTGACGCACCGTTCGCTCGGTTCCGCAGGTCCCAGTCAGGGCGGTGGCTCCCGCGTTTACCCCGGCAAGAAGATGGCTGGAAACATGGGAAATGAGCAGAACACAGTGCAGAATCTTAAGATACTTCAGGTGGATCAAAAGAATGGAATTGTCGTGGTCAATGGTAAGTTACAGACCAGCCGTCCCCGGCAGGCCTCTCGATCTGCAGTTGAGTGAATGTAGGGCGACATCGAATACTGATAATTGTGTATTTTTGTACTCTAGGTTCCATCAGTGGCCCCAAAGGTTGCGTTGTCAGAATACAGGATGCTTTGAAGAAACCTTGGCCGAAAGTCAAGCTGGTCTCTAAATCATCTGGATAACCAATTCGAAAGCATTTTCCCTCCGTCCAACTTCCGATTGCCAATCTCCCTCACCGTTTTTTCATCCGTGAGATGTACCATAACTCCATACTATTTTTTCCTCCATAGAGCGACATTTTTATTTGACATGTAAATGATATCCATATCAGATCAGATCTCTTTCATCCACTCAAACTGCTGCTTCCATATCGTTCCTGCCGTGCTCTGAACCTCTGTGCCGAAATCCGAAAGAGTGGCGAAGGAAAGAACAAAGAAGCCCTCCAATGACCGAACGCCTGGGCACAATGCACATGATCTCAAAATATCTACAAATACAGATTCCCAGACACCGTGTACCACATAGAAAATACAATGTACGCCATCACAACCTCAGCAGTATTCCCCTAGTTGCTTTGCCGAAACGGGTCGCTATCACTGTCGAGGAGTTGCACCACTGTTCCGTGTTCTGTTTCCAGGCTCCATTCTTCCGTGCAAAACTGATGTGATTGCTGGTTAGCTTAAGTTACCTTTGCCATTCGAGGGGAAGAGTCCTTAGTTGGGGGACGCACATAGCTCATGCGGTTGGGTCTAATACTCCGAAACCTCATCTTGCCTTGCCCTTTGGTTCCCTTGACCCAAAATGAGATGTCAATGCGGCCATGTAGCTGATTCATTTCACCACTAATCCATGGGATTTGTTGGGCGAAGTAGATTTCATCCCCTAAAATCTCACGGGCTCTCGGCGAGGTCCTCAGGGCATACAGTGTGCTGCTGACCACGCTTGAAGATGACTTCTGATAGTTGAATATACCCAGCATAGCCGCGCCCACAACAACCGCGAAGAGTGGCAGTGTGCGGAGCCAGCGGCTCTCGCTGTTGACAGACGGCAATTCTCGATCTGCTCGACGCTCCATGAGAGGGCCCGAATTGGAGCGCGGGGCAGGGATCAAGCTGCGACGAGGAGGAAGGGCTCGGCGACGAGCGCCAGGCAGTTGTGGGACGCCAATGCGCCGTCTTGCAGTGGGTAACAACATTCTCAAGACAGTAAAAATCCCGCCAAATAAATGTAGTCTTTTATTTCATCGACAGGCTTAGGGTTTGGGAGGCGTAAAGAGTTCTGAGATAACTGCGAGCGGGTGTTTGGCCTCGGGAGTTTTGAACAGCGGGCCCAGCAAGCTTAGCAAACGGAGCAAACCAGATCTGGAAGAGAAGGGTTTACTCCGTACAGATGATGGCTATTAACACCGATTGATTTTCTATTGCTACCGTAATATTCAAAAAGTTAAGTCCACGGTAAGAATCGTCTCACATTAGGGACTACTGGGATCTTTAAGCCCGAAGGTATTACTAGTAGGGCCCTTTATTAGGGAGTCTTTTTTTTATTCTTTTCATTAGAATTATGAGGGTCTATATCAATATTGGTATGTGCTGTACGTATCGGTATATGATTATACGGGGAATAATGTGGCTTACCGCCTACTGGGCAAGGCTTAGTTCCAGTAGCATAAGAATTACAGTTGGTGCCTATAGCGATTAACTATCCTCCGTACTGTAAACCGTACTAAAGTAAAGTACAGTACCGAGATATTAAGCCGGTTGTGTTATGTACTGTATTTCAAGCAACACATCAAAAGTGAGCCTGGCCCCGACTTTGCTGAATCGCTGGGTGACTCTGTAGCCCATCGAAGGTGTCTCGAGTTTCCCTCTCAAAACTGGGTCCTTCAAGACCCCGAGAAATGATGGCTTCTGCCAGGCTTCGGCGCGCGTTCCGCTATCCAGATGATCTGGGAGATGATGAGTATGCTCGCGAAGAGTTGGATGAAGAAGGTCTGTGTGATCGATTGGCTAGCGAGGAAGGCTGGCTTACAGCTTGCGACGCTTGAATCTCACTAATAGACCTGCAGAGCAAGAGTGCGTAATCCAGACCCTCAAATTACTCAATGACAGGCGAAACTCTGAATATAGTGTAATGAGGTTCCCTTTCTAAGCATGACAAGTCAAAGCGTGGCGGACACCGCTAAAATCATGTCATTCGTGTTTTAGATTATCTTCGCCGCCATCTCCCTCTTGTCCGCGGCCATCTATCTTCTCCCACTACTCTCCAGTCCATCCGCCACTATTGACCGGTGCGTAGCCCTTGTGAGTGTACTGTCTTTGTTGGCAACCGCCCACAGCATGCGGTATCTACCGCATCGACGTCACGATAGCAAGGGCAAAAGACGCATGGTGGACTCGAATGGCCACACCCAAGCGCAGCAACTTCTTCCAATCGTCAATGCAGCGACCTGCATATCCTTAGTGCTAATCCACTTTGTATTCACATCCCAAGAATCGTGGTTCAGCACCGGGCTGATTACATCCTCGGTTCCTGGAGGTTAGTATTTGCGCCAGATTTCCCATACCTGAGTCAAGACTGGTGTCGCTCAATTCTACCTAGCAATGTTAGCGACTGTCTGGGTCGCGAGCAGGGTCATGTCGTCCGTTGATATCAAGGATCTTGAGACTCTTCGATACAATTACAAAGGGGCCTAATGCGCCCCGCTAAACCTATTGTTTCGAGGCTGAGGAAGCATTCCTGGCTGGCCGACCAAGAGGCAACACCTACGAGCGCATCCACTAGGCAAGCATGACATTGATGTATGTTCCTTATTGCAAGCTTGAGAAGCATAATAATTGTCTTTTTCGCGTCATCAACAAATCGGCTTGAAAGGAACGAATATCGCTCGCTTGAATGACCAATATCAGAACTCAACTTGCATCCAATGTATCCGACATGTGAAAGTTCTCATGTCCGCTCATAAATTCATATTAACTAATTACCGGACGGTGTAGACATTCCACCCTCAGGTAACAGCAATCTCTCCAGAGCAGGATCTACCGGAATGCCTTCATAGTCTGTCGAAAATTCTGGGACTGTAGAAGACTCCTCTAGTTGGATGCCCTGCCCAGGTGCCAGCTGATTGTGCTGTTCATCCTCATTCTGGTGATGCTGAGGCTGATGCTCCTTCGGTCCATCGGTCTCATCTTCCGCAGCCTTCTTTAACCAGCGTAGATTCGAATGCCGGAAGTCTACAAGACTTTCCACGCTACGCGGATCCGCAATTTTCCGGGTGTCATGGCCGAGTAACATGCATGTGGGCTCGAAAGGGCGCATCGTCGGATCCCGGCGACAGGCAGCACAACTGCAAATTTTATTGCATTTAGGGCATTTCCAATCCAGAACCTCCATTGTCTGTTGTGGAAGCATATTGAAAGCTCTATAGAGACTTCCATAACAATAATACTTGCCACAATGTGTGCATGAGGCAAGGTTCCACAGTGGTTCAAGATATCTGCAAATGTGACAGCGACCAACCTTCTCTGTTTGATCTCCCCGAGACATTTTTCGTCTTTTGCGTGCAGAGACGATCTCCTCCGTGTCGCTATCTTTCCCATCCATAGGTTCTGACTGGACGATTGGTTTGCTGATATCGACCCAAGGCCGCCTACTTAGCTCTTTTTGGCAAATTTCAGCCAGCGTCCTTTTGTTCAGTCGCTCTCTTTGTGTATCCAAAGGCAAGTATGTCTGCTCAAGATCTGACTTGGCTTTAAGGAGTTGTTGCCTCCAAGCCTCATGCTTCGCTTCGAGTTCGTTCCAATCGAATTGCTCAGCCCATCTGAGGGCTGATATGCAAACACAGCTTCGGCCCATCGCATAACATTCCATGCAGATGTCGTACGCGTCGTCCTCGTCCGAAATAGAGGGGGTAACGCAATTCGGACAAGTGAGGAACCTATTAAAGATATTTCCTCGACAGTAGGAGCATGTGATATTGCTATCATAAGGTATAAACTCGACATCCTGTTCGGGTAAATTGCTGCCGAAGCATTCAGAAAGAAGTACCTCGTTGTACAAACTGAACAGCTGCTGGAAATCCTTGAACAGTTTCTTGTAGGTCGGGCGATTTATGTCGGATTTCTGGGCTTTTTTAAGGACGGCGGAGTAGTGTTCGAGCGAGTAGAACACGATGGACTTGTTTTTATATTGTTCATCACGGCAAACCATTCTTGCGTGAGGTAGAGCTTCATGTAATGCCTTGTCCAGGGTTTCCACGGTGGTCCGATTCCAAGCAACCTTCATTGTCCTCGTTCCGCGGTTCCACACCTGATGTGCTGCTAGAGGCGGTATGAGAATGAAATCTCCTGGTCTCTGTTCGACCACGTATGTTTTGAATGGGGCTGCTTTCCAAGCGTTTATCTGTGCGAAGTGGTCCTCGATGTCAATGTCATGACCAAGCGTGGACATCCAGTAATCCGAAACAGCACGGCGGTCTTTGCTCTCCGTCATGAACCAGATAGAAGATCCTTGCTTAGTATATTTTCCATATTCAGCTGAACCATCCGATGCTTCAACCATTATATTTTGGCCGAGGCTGCCACACATCTCTTGATGGGCTGGTGTATAGGTTCCCTCATGGCCGATGTAGCACATAAGATTCTCTGCACGTGCATTTGGAGGAAGACAGCTCATCAAATCACCAGCTCTGGCCACCGGAACGTTCGAGTGGGCCTTGTTGAGATAAAAGACCGGCGACGGTATGACTTCTTTCAATTCATCATGCCATTCGGCGGGGCAATCAATGTCTTTAAGATATATCCGCTGCCGATCAGGGTCTTTGTAGTTGTGTGGTGTCCATTGATCAGTAAGAAGCGACATATTTTTAAGATAATGTCCTATCGTCAGAGGCAAGTCGGTCTTTGTACTTAGATTCCGCGCATATTCCGCTTACACGACACATGCTGTCAGCTGGGATTTCAAGATCCCTGAGAAACCACGATTACTCACTCTTTGCAGAATAATGGCCCCTGAGCCACTTCTCGGAGAAAAGGGTATGATTCAGCCTTTTCTCAAAACCCTCAATGACCAACGGTCTGCCCAATCGAACAACCTGAAGTGCAACAAGTTTCTCAAAATCATCCAAGTCATTCTGATCGATAGCATCGCAGTGAATCCTGGTAACAAACTCGAAGTTCGGCGACGATTCCACTAAAGCCTCTAGGTCCAGGTCTGGGGAAAGCGGTTCAAAAGCCGCGCGAGGACGCTGTGCGGGCATTCTAAAAGACGATCGGAATATGTTGATATGTGTTTCAACTATTCAGGGAGGGGGGATGGAGAAATTGGACATGAAGATATTGGTGGCATAGGTAGACAAGTCGCATATTCACCAAGTGCTTAAAGCATGTTCTCTTTTAAAAAAAAATAGCAAAGATGCAAGGTCTGGTGTTACGGACGAGAAGTATGGTTCAATTCAGGATCTCAGCACAAATGAACAGAGCTCGAGAGGTCATACCATTTTTATCACACGTGGATGCAGCAGAAGTGGACCCTCTTCGTGTAACTATAGAAAGATTGGGCATAGAAGGCTGTTGCACATGACGAAGAGCAAAAAGAAGATAACAAGCGCGTTCGTACTGCACGCGCGGGAGGATGACTGATGTACGGAGCGGACCGAGCGGAATGGACTTTTCTCTGGGCTTGCTTGAATTGGTCGCCGGAATTATCAACTTACACACCCAGGCGATGAACTCAGGGACGAAGACCCAACCAGCCAATCTTGTTTACCCTTCCGTCTCCCTCCCTTTGCACCTCCTTGATTCCGTGTCTTGATCGAGCGGATTTGTGCCAGACTCAAATTCCTATTATGACTGACTGATAGCAGCCATCTATTTTGTTCTCAAAATTTCCCGAAAATGACCGCAATCGCAAATATGCCATTGTCTTGCCTACCCCTGCGCTACCTGAATCGAATGCGTCGATGCTTCGCGGGGCGAGCTACCTCTCTTCACCAACCACTTCCATCCGCTTTCTACCATGGCTCTCGCTCTTTCTCAATGCCCCAGAATAGCCCAGCAGCGACGAATGTCTTTCTGGCATCCCGTCGAAGATCAAATTATGACACGTGCAGGCTCAAAGACTCAGGCGTTTCTACCTCGCAGAGTCGCGCAAGTTCGAGCTCGGTGGATCATTACAGACCACCGGAAAAGGGCTTCATAGCCTCTCTTCCACGGTCATGGATTCCATACGCGGAGTTGTTGCGCCTTGATAAACCTACAGGCACATACTATCTTTTCTTCCCTTGTCTATATTCCACCCTTCTTGCTGCATCCATGACGACTTCCACTGGCCCATTCGAGGTTGCCGGAACTGCCGGTCTATTTCTCGCCGGTGCCTTGATCATGCGAGGTGCTGGGTGTGCGATCAACGATCTATGGGACCGGAATCTGGATCCGCACGTTGCGAGAACCAAGTTTCGACCTATCGCGAGAGGTGCAATCTCCCCTAGCAAAGCAGTCGCTTTTACTGGCGTTCAACTACTGGCAGGGCTGGGTGTCTTGCTTCAGTTTCCAACCCAATGCCTCTGGTATGGTATACCTAGCCTGCTTTTGGTGGCCACCTATCCCCTCGCTAAGCGTATCACATACTACCCGCAAGCTGTGCTTGGTCTTACATTCTCGTGGGGTGCGATTATGGGTTTCCCAGCACTGGGTATTGACCTCCTTCACAATACTCCTGCTCTGGAAGCAGCTGCTGCTCTCTATTCTAGTTGTGTCGCCTGGACAATTCTATACGATATGATATATGCACATATGGACATAAAAGATGATGTAGCGGCCGGCATCAAGTCAATTGCTCTTCGTCACGAGAAAAACACAAAATCTGTCCTCGGTGCATTGGCAGGAGTCCAAATATCGCTGCTTGCTGCAGCTGGTATCGCGGCTGGTAGCGGACCTATTTTCTTTGTCGGCAGCTGCGGCAGCGCAGCTCTTTCCCTTGCCGCGATGATTTGGAAAGTTCAGCTAAAGAATGTACAGGATTGCTGGTGGTGGTTCAAAAATGGCTGTCTCTTTACTGGCGGCGGTATCACTGTGGGGCTACTCATGGAATATATCGCGCAAGCCACTGGCTTTTATCGTGAAGCCACAGAGTCGCATTGCTAGGGAAATTCAGAGAACGAGCCGTACCTTTGCAAACTTTATTGACCAACTCACCCTGTAATGTTCGAACGCCTTCGTGTTTGAACACCGATATACTGCTCCACGGCACAGACTATAGCCTCCCAATCCATCATGGCACCATTGCCAGTGTCACCACAAGCAAGGTGCTTCTCCATGGGCCGAAGAACGGAAACCCAGCCATCCTTGCTTGAATTATTCACACCCCATTCCTTCTCTAAAATCTCAATCTGTTTGCCAGTAATGGGATGATTCCACATTGCCGTGTTCATTGCTGGAGCAACAAAGATAAGCGGCTTCTTAGTCTTCAATTTGCCATCCACCATCCCGGTCGTATCCCATGCTCTTATCACCGAGAGTAGAAGGTTGTCGGCCATTCCCATGGTCATCTTAGCCATGGTGTTAGCCGAGAGGGGCGCAACAAGCAATAAATGCGCCCACTTCCTAAGTTCTATGTGCAGTATCGGTTCCCCCCGAGTCCAGGGATTCTTCCACTCATCTTCATCTCTGTAAATAGCCTCAACACCTGGGACTGCTCGCAGAGCTTCTAATGAAGGCTGTTCCAGGCTCTGTCCATCTAAAAAGCGCTCCGCTGACTTGGTGACGATGATACGAATAGACACATTGTGGTGACGACTAAGCGCTTGAGCGATATTCGGCAATTTGATTGTAGCGACAGATCCGCTGGCCGCGAGAATTATGTGTATCTTCTCATCGTGGAAGTATGTTTGAGCGCTCAGTGGTGGCGGAGAATATTCCATGAGGTGAGAGTCCAATGAATTTTGGTCGAGAAAATGCGAAATTGGGGATAGACTTGAGCCGTATCAAATGACCTTGCACCTACTTAGTCCTTAAGGACAGTGGATCTGTCAGGTCACATGATCCTGATAAGCTAGGTCTCCCATGATCGTCGTTGCTGGTGATCTTGATAGGCAGTCATCTACTTAAAGTTGATTGGTTCTGTTGTCGGCGTGTGTGGCCTGGGGTTACTGGGTCATTCGACGCGGGACACTTAAATACCACATAGCCATAGCTAGTTTTGTCTTATTAATTAATCTGATAAGATTTATATAACTTTGGTTTCCTATTTAAAGTTTAAGTTTCTAATAGATTATATGCCCAGCTCAGGCTGAGATTTTAAATCTATTATTTATATATACATCTATATATATATATATGTATATAATTTCTGATAAAAAGAATATTCTTTTAAAAATATATAAGTCTATTTATTTTTATCTTTTATTTTTGTTAAGCAATTGACGTAGTTCAGATGAATAAAGTAAGAATATGATTAAATAATATAAGTAATATAAGAATATAATAAGATATTAAATAATAGATATTGATTAAACTTTTAGTTTTCTAAATTATAAAGAATTATTGAATTAATCTAAAGTTATAAATATTTTGTAAAAAAAATCCGATATCTTATTTCTAATATATTTACAGTTTTGAATATTTTATTAAAAATATACTCAGTCAGCTTATTCTGTAGAAGTATATTAAATATATATTAAATATAATAATAAATTATTTATACAATATTAAAATAATAGAAATTATATAAAACTGGTTATATCATATAATTATCAAAGATATATTATAAGATCATTACTTAAGATTCATTTAACAAAATCTGGAATAAATCAAGTAAATATTATAATATTATCTTAAATATTCAACTTTTAAGAATATTTAAAATATTTATAATATAAGACTATTCAAATACTGACCATGTATTCTTAAAATATGTAAGATATATTATTAAATATTTAGAATACTAATTAAGTTTCAATATAGCTATACTAAAAATAAAAGATCCAATAATAATGTATTAATTTAGTTTTCTTATAATCTGTAAATGATGGTTTATTTTTTGAATTTTTTATCTTAAATTTTGATATATCAAAGAAGTTATGATATAAAATTAGATTATCTAAGTCTTCAAATAAAGAGATTATATATTTAATTTGAATTTGAGTCTTATTGATTTTCTAGAAATATTAAATAATTAAAAGCTGAATAGATTTGAATAAAAGAATATAATTAATTAATTAAAGGAATCTTTAAAAAAATGTTTCATAGAATATTTATAAGAATTGGTAATATAATTATTATGAAAAAATCATTGAAATAGATTAGAAATAAGAAAAAATTTAGATATAAATACTGTAGCTAAAAATCTTAATTTTTGATCGCTATAACTTTAATTTTAAGATAATAATAAGAAGATTAAGAAATATATAAATATTATTCTATATAGTTTTTATATATTTTAATATTATATTAAAAATAAATAGATTGTTAACTTTGAATCTCTAAATTTTATTGAAAATAAGAATACTTATAATTTACAGATTAAGGAATTCTAAATAAAATATATATAATAACTAGAAAAACAATATTTTATATTAAAAAAATCATATAAAATCAAAAAGTAATGTTGAATCAAAAATACAACAATAATAAAATATTTTACAAAATTATATTAATTAATATATTAGATATTCTAATATTAAAAAGTAATCCGTCAAATATTACATATTTTAAAAATATAAGTTTATAGTTAATATATTATGAAATAAAATAAATATTAATAACAGCAGAAATAGAACTTTTTTATTATTAATAATATTTTTATGACTAGTACAGTTTTTATTTTAATAGATAGTCCAATACTGTATAAATTAGATTTAAAATTATTATTATAGTTTTCATTAAAATATAATAATTATATTAATAAGATAATTTTATTATAAATAGAAATATTAATTTTTTCAATAAATATTAATTAGCTTAGATAATAATTTAGTATTAAAATAATAATCAAAAAATATAATTTTTTAAACATATACTATTATTATTAGAGAATTTTTAAAATTAATATTAAAGTTATATAATCTAAAAATATTCTATATTAATTATATAATCAGTTGATAGCCTCAGGCTCACAAATTCATCACCTCAGGCTCGCTGGTTGGCTGCCTTAGGTTAACTAGTTTATAATATGGATTCCCCAATCTTGATAATCTCTCAGCTGACAAAACAGTTTAAAATAACTTTTTTTATTTATTTTATTATTTTCGATTAATAGAAATTTATTAATTTTTTATTTTTATGTATTATTTATATATTTTTTATATAGTTGCAGAAAGTCTCAGAAAATTAATATAACTATTTAGCTATAAATAAAAGATTAATTACAATTGTTTTCTAATTAGTAGAGCAAGTAGAGTGGCTAACGGCCAGGTTAGATCAGGTTAATTAAGATTTTTATATCTGACCGCAGATTATAATTAAATATAAGAATATATATATTCCAAACTGGTTTAATCTATAGTTAACCGGCAGGACTTATTTCTCAGTAATTAAATTTATTTTAAAAAACAGTTAAAAAGGTAGAATACTACTATTTAATTTCAATCTGATTTTAGTTTATTTTTATTTAATTATATTTAATTTTATTTTAATTAATTTTTTTAAAATTAATATAAATAAAACGGTTAACTGCAGCTAACTGTTCTATCTAACAGTTAATCTAATTTATATTTTAATTTAACTGTCAGATTATGGCCAGATTAAGGTTAAGATATAACAGTCAGGTTAAGCCACTCTAAGAGCAAGTAATTTCAGTTTAATCTATTTAATTCAATAAGTTTAATTAGTTATTTATCCAAGACATTGAGTTTTTTATTTTTTATTCTTTTTATTTTTACTTTATTTCTTAAAATTTGTATGGAATTCCATATAAAATTTAAATAAAGAATAAGATTTTATTAAAATAGAAGTAAAAATATTCAGAATTCTCTTTAATTAGAAGCCTAATTATACTGTTATTTTAAATATTTATTGATATCTAAGCTTTGTTTATTTATTTATTTAATATTTTAATTTAAACTTTGACGATAAATTAATAAATTAAAAAAATATTGTTTTGAGTAATTAATCTGATTAATATTTTTAGATTAATTAGATTTAATTATTTGCTATTAATAAAAGTAAATAAAAACTAATAGATCTAGATCTGCTAATTAAATCTATTTATTCTAAAAATTTTATTTTATTTTTAATTTATAAAATGAATTAATAAGCTATTTTTCTATTAGATTTTACTAGATCTGACCGTCTACTATATCGGGAAATTAAATGAAATTATTACTATTAATTTAAAAATAAAAAGACTATTTTAGATCTAGTTTTTTTGAATTAATTATTTAATTTTATATTAATCAGATAAAACTATATATTATATTTAGGCCTTGCTACGGGTCGGGTTTAGATCTAATATCAGAACCTATATTTATAGATCAGATTTAAATACTAATCTAAAATCTAAATTTATTAATTTATAAATCAAATATATCGATCTACAAATTATCTATCAAAAATCTATTTAAATATAAATTTTTTAAACTATACTAAAATATATAAAATTTTTAAATAATCTAAACTTATTTTTATTTTCTTATTTTATATTAATATTAAGATTCTATAGTAGTAGTTTTTTTTTAAATTATCATATCTATATAAAATATATCTAAAATCTAATTTATACTAAAATTAATTATTAATTTTATTTATAAATAAAACTATAAAAAATATTAAAATTAAGATATTAATATTATTAATAAGATATTTTTATATACAGCTGTAAGTATATATTTCCTAAAATAAATAATTTTATAAAATTATTAAATTAAATAATTATTTTATTTTTTATATTTTTTAATTTATATTATTTAATAGAATATATTTATATTATATTCTAATATTAAGTCCGGTCACACCAGTTTATTCTTACTAACTTAGTACTAACAACACAAAATATCGAATATGAAGAAAAAAGAGAAAAATTAGAAAGAGAAAACTACAATCTAATAGACTTATTTATTATAAAATAGATACTCAAATAAATAAAATAAATATATTAAATAGAATTAATTAATTTTAGTATCTTAAATTATTTTTATATTATCTTCTACTGTAAGCTTAACTATCTGTAGATAAGAAATATTTTTTAATTAATTTTTAATTTTTTAATAATAACTAATAGTTAAAAACTATTTAATATAATATTAAAAAGATTAATATTAAAGTATTTAAAATTAAAATTATTTAATATAACAGCCGAATATTATATAACTAAATATTTTAAAAACTTTAAATATAAAAATTATATAATATAAAAATTTTTAATCAGTATTAATACATTTTTTAAATTATTTATATAATATTAAATACAGTTTTTTTATTGGAATTTTTTTATTTAATATAATATAATATATTGATCTTTTTTTATTATAGACGGAAGTTGAGTATTTTTTTATTTTTTATTTTATATTTTTATTTATATCTATTAATTTTATTTAATTTTAAGACTGTTTTAGTAATAGTTTATTTATTAATATAAATTAAAACTTTTTCGAATAAAAATAAAATATATTTTAATATTAATTAATATTTAGATTTAAAAAAGTATTTTTTTTACTTTAGAATTTCAAACAGACTATATTATTTATCAGCTAATCTTTAAATGATCATTTTTTAATCTTAATTTAAGTAATTGATATAGATTTTATTTTGTATTTAAATTAGTTTTTCCTAAATAATAATTAATTTAAATAATTTATTATCTTTAAATAATAATAAAACTAGTTTTAATATATTTTTTTAAATATCTTTGAAGCAAGCTGCAGTATTCTATATATAAATAATATTTATAATTTTTAATTTTATATTTATTAAAATTTTTTAATTA